GGAGGGACCCGTGCTAGCGAGGATTAGTGGAAAAGTCTTTATGTACTTCTGTTTTTGGGGTTAGGATTTGCCATATTCAGCCTTCACCTCTTGCCGGAAGAAGCAAAAAAAATCCGGAAAAATTCGAAAGTGCGTGCACAGGCAGTAGATTTGGAGTTGTGTCAGTGCGTTGTTTAAGAGAGGTTTCTGATTCTTTCTAATCGTGCGACTCAATGGACTCAAGTATGAACGCACTCTCAACCAGACCACGAACGAGTTTAATGCGACCGACCGCATTTTTCCCTTAGGTTGATGAGGATAGTACTCTGTCAATGGTCACTCACTTTCTCCGCTTCTTCAAACTTCGATGAACGCGATACTCAGTGAGGACACTGAGTACGAGGATCGTGGTGACAGGACCGACTGTTTGAGTCAACGTCATCAAAATCGCCTTGTATCGTGTGAACTGAAAACAGGCAATTCTAAATGAGATCAACTATAAATCTGTGACTCGCTTCGGACTTTTCAGGTGTTTTCATCGCAGCGCATTTTCAGTATTGTATGAATTAATCCACAGAGGCTGATCATGAACGCAGTTTTTCCCACAATGTCAAAGTAGACGTGACTCCCAGTGGAGTTACAATTACAATGCCACCTAGAGAAATGGAAAACATTAGGTACAATACAGATCACTGATGTGCCACTAGGTTCTTAGGCAGTAACCCGATACTAGAACTCTGCCTACTTTGCCTAAGTGTGCCGAGCGCGGAGGTGGGAAAGGAGGCCGTGACGGCTGCAGTGGGACAATAACTGGTCCGTGCTCCATGTCATGCGCAAGGAAAGGAGTGGATGTGTGACACTTTCTTCATTAGACAGTGCGCGGAAGTGGGGTGGGAGAGGGTGATGACTAGAGCCTTCGCCTTTGCAGTCAAAGTACGCAAATGCGTAACACGCCGCACGGACAGCCACACGCCTGAGCGTGGCCGACTGCGCTACTTGTCCGCGCCCTTCCACTTTTGGTTGTTCTCTGCTTTCTCTGCGTATCTTCGCGGAAGGTGTGGACGCAAGTTCTGTACATCTAGGATGGCGGGTTTAAATGCAAATGATATCGTACTGTCACCACCCTTGAGCTCATTTCCGTGCACTTTTGAGTGACGAGAGTGTCACACGTCTACAGCATCCAGCCAGCTTA